CAGGTTTGATCTGGCAATACAACTTTCAGAGCTGAAGATTGCCTATATGATTGCTTCCGAAGCTGAGGTAAACTTTTCAATCACTGTTTGTCATGAATTCATACAATACATGAATGTATTGAAATGAGGTACTTGGCTGTGTAGCTAAAGGCTAACTGGCTTTATACAGTTTTTAAGCAATTCCAAAGTGAGTTTGTTTGAAAACATTAATACTCAAAGAATCATTTGCAATTATATTTGATCTCGCAATGTCTGCTCGTTGTCTTGTATTGCGTCTTTACCGATAATTTGATCGTTTTTGGCCTGAAGAAGTGCACCAAACTGTAGAGATGACCCGCGAGACCCACTCTGTGTTTATAAATTTGCACAGTACAAGTTGCGATGAATTGTTCTTCCGTCCGTCTTTCAGAGCGAGCACAAATGGAAGCAGCTTGCAGAGCTAGCCATCTCCAAGTGTCAGTTCCAGTTGGCTCAAGAGTGTCTAATAAACGCACAGGATTTCGGAGGCTTGCTGCTACTGGCCACATCGGCTGGAGATGCTGACATGATTTTAAGACTCGCGGAGACATCTTCCAACAAGGGCAAGAACAACGTGGCCTTTTTGGCCTATTTCCTCCTTGGAAGGTAAATAGGTGCATTATTTTTATGCCTTTCACTCTTTAATTCAGGTTTTAGAAAATAGGAAGGATGAGTCAAATAGAAATGTGAAGGTTCGCTTCCCTTAATGTTGCCAATTGGTCTGTTTTATTCAACAGCATGGCCGAAAGAAAATTTGACGTGTATTCTCTAGGTTTAATTTCGGGAGGGTTTCAAACAAATCTTATGCCACAGAGAACTCAGGATAGCGTGTTCTAACCATTCAATGTACGAGTGTATCAAGGATTAAAAACAAATTGATTGGTTAGAGTTCATATACAGTGTAGAGTGTAAGAGTATTGAGCAGACATATTTACTTACTGACTAACGGAGGTAAGCTTCTTCGGAAACTGGATGCTTCGCCGATTGGAGGTATTGCAAGTGAAAATAGGCCACACTGTAAAGTGTTTTTGAGTTATAGCCTTCCTTAAGAGCGAAATATGTTTACTTACTGACGGGAAATTATTTGGCTCGAAGGCATGACGAGCGGACTAACATAGCTTGGTCTGTAGTTCATGATGCACGTTTCACTGTATGCGCTAATCGAAATCTGGCCTGGAAATGCACTTCCTTTGAAAGTTAGCATTAATGTGGATATGTACCTTGTTATTTGACCAGGCTGGAGGAAGGTATAGAGTTGCTGTGTAGCACGGGTCGGTATCCAGAGGCAGCGTTCATGGCTCGTACTTACTTACCAAGCCATGTGTCAAGGTAAGTTTCTTTACCCGAAGTTTGGTAGGCAGAGTTCAACTTTGCCCAAATCAATTCTGGATTTTGGTTCTATACAAACAAAAGGGACCAGTTGGAAGTACAGAACTGCTCGGAAGTTTCCATTGATTCTGTTTACTTACGTTTGATAAACAGTAGATCAATGTAAGGGGTACGTTTCCAAAGAAACTCTGATGCTGCATCGGAAGGGAGGTATTACAACATAATTATTTTGATTTTCTTCAACTGAGCTGATAATGTAAATTGCTACTGTAGAGAGTTTATGGAGCCCAACCTAGAGCGCATGCTTGTATGTAGTAGAAATATTACGAAATTGTCTGGATACAATGCTGAAGAAATCATAGATACGTCCCCGTTGTCAGGGTTGCACTTGTGAATGGAGCAAGCCAACTGATGTGGCTCGATTCCATCACTAAACTCCTAACTACAAAAAGTGCAGAAAGCAATAAAGCTTGTCGCCTTTCTAGCTAATGTTGATTGCAAAGGAAGTGAATCAAGTTTGAACAGACAACATTTTGGAATACATTGTATTTCATCTATTTATGTTTTTTGGAGGACGAATATGCAAGAAGAGATTTGTTTCATCTTGTTTCTCCCTATAATTGACAGTAAGTTAGTACTTTTCTGCTCAATAATTATTAAAACAAAATTCAACTGAATGTCGACCGTTTTGTTCCGTTTGTCAGGATTGTCCAACTGTGGAAGGAAGATTTAGCGAAAGTCAACAAAAAGGCATCTGATTCTCTAGCAGACCCTTCAGAATATGAGAATCTGTTTCCTGAATTTCAAGAAGCGTTGCAAGCAGAGCAGGTTAGATTAAGAACTTTTTTTCCATTTCCCCCTTGTCTTACTTTATGACATTTTTTTTTTTGTCAGCGTCTGTTTTCTGCCTTCTGTTGCAAGCTGTTCGAGTTGCTGAAAGTAATATCTCTCTACCGTATTTGTTCCAGTTTCTGAAGCGGGAAAGAGTACAAATGAAACCTGCTGCCCAATACAAGCATTTCCCGGTAGGATTATTTGTCTGTTGAATGACGTACTTCGGCAAATGGCTCTTTTTATTCTTTCATTGTATTTTAGGCGCACATTCGAATCCTTTTGTCATCTTATGTCAGCCAGGAAGTTGTCAAATCCTTCGCATCTTGCTTTTTAAAGCTACTGTAGTAGTTCAGGTTATCCACTGTCGCAGGGCTTGACAACAGTGTTCACCTCTCTGTTTACACGGGCAAATGCGAGGCGTTGATTTGTGTGGAAATTTGTTTTCATCTCTAGAGTAACTCTGAGCGTGATGTGTTTGAAGAAATGAAAGCAGCTAAGGAAGATGGAAGCTTGGACTCAATTCTGGTGAGATATTTTTTCAACGTGTGGTTTAAATTGTTGTTTTGTTACTTTGATTTTTTTTTTTTTTTTTTTTTTTTTTTTTTTTTTTCAGTCGGTAAAGTGTCTATGATCTAGCGGGGACTCTTACATGCAACTCACAGTTTGTCATGGTCAGCTAGGAAGAAATTTAAGGGGGAGAAAATTCATACGAATTACAACCAATAAACTTAACGTCTGGCTTGATAGTTCAAGATGTACAAAACGTACTTATAGCGTAGCTCCTTACGGGGCAAATCCTTGGTTTAATGTCCCAATGTGAAACATTCGTTGTTTTAGTCATTTGCGGTATATATTTACGTGGTTTTATTTCAGGCGTCGGTAGAAAGTCTGTCCTTCGGTGAGCCCTCCGCATCCCAACCAATCGAGCCGTCACCTCCATCATTCGCCTCTAGATCGTCAAGCGCACCCCACTCTTCACCGCCTCCTGCACCCGCGGACAGACCGCCTGCGACTAAACCTCCAGCGGCAGAAAAAGAAGCCACGAAAAAACCTGCTCCCGATACGAAACCTGCAGTCGAGGATGATAAGGTGAGAAGGGATACTCGGTGACTGCGTCAGTCCGTTCCCATGGCAACAAGGCACACTGTTATGCTTAGAAAAAAGATGCAGCTTTAGAAGGGAGAAATATTCTTCAGTAAGAGAAAATGCGCTTGACTTGAAATGAACCTCCGTCATTTCTCAACACTATTACCGAGATGTATTACTTATGCCCAAATTGCCAACCCAATCGCACATATCTGGGAATAGTCACCGACTGGGAATGAGCACTTACATGGTGTCACCTTTGGTAGCACATAGTTTTTGTACAGGAACCACCTTGGCTGGTACTTTTGCTCGAATTCCGAATCTTCTATTGGGACTTTCAGTTACTTGGATATTCAATCTCGAAGCGGCCTGGGAATAGGGTGAAATAGACCGTACCAACTCGCCACTTGGTTAAAAAATAGGGCACATTGTTCGGTTTGCACCAGGGTTTCACTCTACCGGTATCCTTTCTTCTAATTAACTATTATTTTTATATTTTTGTTGTTTCTTTGTAATGTCCAGTCTTTCTCGTTCTCTGTGTCCTGTTCGGTTAATGCCCAGTCCGTTTCTTTTGTATTAACAGTTGAAAAAAATCCTGCTGTACCTTGCATTACAGGACGAAGACGACCTCGACGATTTCGACTTCGGGGCTCAGGACGATGACGAAGACGTAAGTTGCCCAAAATTTTCCTTTTGTTTGAGTGATCTTTATTTTTATTGTGTCATACTGAGTCCTAATGATGTTACAAATTTTAATAGCTGCATGTACTAGTTTACACCCAATTTGGCTGTGGATTTGAGAGAAAAACTTCAGTTAGATACGAATGCGTTGATTAATTTTGGTATCCAGTAATTTATGCATAGTATCCTATTCTTTTTTTCGTCTGTGAAATCCTATCCTCATAAATCTGGAGCTTTGTTTTGTTCTGTTCTGTTTTGTTCTGTTTTGTTTTTAAGTGAAGAATGTCTTCTATTTGAAGCAATTGATGTTCAGTACGAGGTGCCTTTCCGTTGAATTTTTGATACGAAAGTCATTTAGCAATACTTTCATGCTATTTTCATTTTTCAAAGCAAACTATATTATTTCTCCCCCAGTAAGCCATTTTGGTAGTAATTTTTGACTCCTAGTTAGTTAAATTTTGTAGTCTTCGGTAACATCAATTTTGTATATCTGTGTGCTGTTCGCAGGACGACCTGAATATAGACGATGATGATCTTTTAAATGACGACGACGATCTTCTAGATGATTAGAAAATTCATATTGCTCGAGTTTGATCCTTTAAAAAAAACAATGAAATGGCCTCTTATTGTCTATGTGTAGCGGTTAATTGAAGAAATGTTACTTTAAAATTTTTGGAAACTTACGCCGATACGATAAAATGTATTGCAAAGTTGTTGGTTTTCAGTGGGTTGTTTTCTCGGAATTCTACTGTACGTTGGAATCGTATTAGTTCTGATTGACAGAGTAAAAAATGCCTATGAAATTCAGGCGAAGAAAGTATTAAATACCAACTTTACTAATTTTCAACCATTGAAGGCAGTTTGGTTCCTTTCGGTGTTGATGGTTATAACTTAGAGGCGCTGTAGTCCAGATAAATAAAAGCACAGATAAATAAAACTGTTGTTGAATCGTTACACGTTTTAAGCTGGTTGTTTGCAGTGCAACCACCGTAATATTATGGGACAGGGAATGTAAAATGAAGATACTCGCTATCATAAGATAATGTTAGATAATCTGGGATAAACGGCCAAGTCATCAAAGAGGCGTGTATTAAGTGTAAGAATAATTATTGCATTGTATTTGTAGGTTATTTCACTTTTTTGTTTTTAGATACACCAGCCTTGTGACAACAACAACATTTTCTTAGTTAGCGTACTAATAATGAGTTGCCTCTTCGCGAGTTCTGAGACTTGATAGCTTCTTCTCCGAACGGCGGACGAGCTTCATAACTGCGTTTTTTATACAACTGTTCCAACCATGATCTTTTGCTATGCTGTGTTAAAAAAAAAAAAAAAAAAAAAAACATTCCCCTTGTATTAATTATTTGTAGTGGCTGCACTTCAAATGATGAAGAGGCCCGGGATAGGGGGCAAAACTTGATTACAAGATTGTTCATTGTTCCTCAAGCCCGGGAGAAGTGGTTAACCCTGTACAGGACTTTCGGGATGCCCCACGCTAGAGGGGTGCACTTAACGAGAGTGGACGCACATGAAAGGACAGGGAATTGTGTTTTCGGAAATTGCCAAGTGGCGTCTGAAGATACCTTCTTAAAGGATCATTTCGCATTAACATTTAGGAGATTAGAAATAGCGCTAGTCACGTGAGCGCTCAGCTGCCATTTAGTGCTGTGATCCGCCACTCGTTGGCTGAGTTAGTGGTTGGTTACCATCCTTTCTCGTATGGTTCTCCCTCCACGAAAAACCTATCACCCCAACTCGAATTTCGAATTTGAAAGAATGGACGAGGAAAGTAGGTAAGAAACCATCCCTCACTTAATTCAATTTGTTCGATTCTCTTTTATCCGATTTATTCACTTCGTTCCAAGACTTCAGATGGAATGTATGGTTGACTAGTGAAAAGACTGCCATTTAAAGTGAAATGATGGGAAAGGGAATTTGTCTCTGTAAGGATTGGTGAAAAAAAAAAAAAAAAGTATCGAGACGTTTGACCCCGGGAAAAGCATTCCCCTCTAGCTTTCTCTTAAGACAAACGCTTCGCTTACCCTGCAGCCATAGAGGGAGATTCCACATATTCTCTTCTGTGCTTTTCCTTGTTTGACTTTTCTCGCTTCAAGGTTCTTGGGAGAAAGTACATCATCTCCAGCATGGAAGATTGGCGACCCTCTAATGGCAACAGACAACGACAGAGTAGCCATTGTGAATAACAGCGCAGTTGAAACCTGCATTTTCCAGTTCTTTCCTGTTAGCGTTGGTTACTGCAAGAAGAAAGAGGTCAAGTTGTATTATGACTCGTGTTACTGGCACTTCTTACTCAAATTTCCTTTTTTTATTACTATTTTATTTTACTATCTTTTTTTCGCGGCTTTCCCCTTCTTATCAAGGTCGATTGAAACAATAACCAGTCGTCAAATAGAGGAAAACCAAAGGAGTCCAGATGAAGAAAAAAATAAGTAAAGAAGGGGCTTGATCGTAATCAAAACCAGTCGATTTGTTGTGCAACTGTAAATCACATCGAACACATGTGAACCCACAGGAACCGAATTTAGTCCTCCGAAAGGCGTAGACAAGAGAATTCATAATTTTCTCTTTACTTTGAAGTCTTTCCATTTTGGTTTTTTCTTTTTTTCCTACTTTTGCGACGGTAGTTAGGTTTTTTTGACCAGTACGACAAGAGAACTACTGTCATTCATTAGCTTCGTGTACATTATTTTGAAGCTCCTATTTTTTCGAACAACGTCATACTCTATATTGATACACGAAGTTTTTACTATACGCACCTGAAGTAAGATGACGGTTATCTGCTAAGTCCACATGAGGTTCGACCTTTTTGTCAGTAATATTCCGGCTTTTTAATGCACTCTGTTCTGATAAACTTTTCTTCGTTTTACGACAAAAGACTTGGACAATAAAAACCCTCCCATTCCATTTCCGCCATGGACCCTGACTTGCTGCGTTCGAAATAACTTTTATTTCAGAACTTTTTAATCAGGAATCTTACTAAGCATGTTGTCGTTAAACCTTGGTATTGTGCATAGAAACAATTGAAATTGACGTCTTACAAAAGATGTGGATAATAAGTCTTCATAGGCGTTTGATCGGCTTAAAGTTATATTGTTAGATAAGTAAGAGAAAAAAGAAAGGAAAGAAAACTACGTCTGAAAATTCTACTATCTAATATCCAAATTGAACTTCAAAACCTTTTTCCACTTGAATAGGTATTTAAATAAATGTTATCTTATTTCGGTTGTACTAGGTAAAGTGATTTGCAAAACTATGTTAACAGAAACCGAGAAAAGAACCTCGCAGCTTAACAGCTGGATAACCTTCTACATTCATCACAATGAGAAACCAGTTTGCAAGGAAATGAGCCCCCTGCACTCTGAGGCACCTGTGCAAACGAAGGGGGGAGGCTTGTTCTCACGCATGCCACTTCTCTGTAACGCATGCCAACGATTTTCTCTTTTCACAATAGGAAAGAAATTGAAAGTTAAAATGATTTCACATATTTTATGCAGCGAGGTCATGGTGGAAACTATAGGTGACATTGATCTTCATGCTCTAGTTTTCGATTTAATTGTGACAAGGTCTCAGAGCAATTAGTTCTTTCTTCGGTGATAGATTGACAGCAAATCATGAAAACTCTTAATTTCTTTTTCTACACTGCCTAATTGCCTTTCGACAAAAAAGTACGACTACCGCAAATTAGAAGAACATTTTCCCCAAAAATTAAGGCAGACCATGTATATCTCGTTTGTTTGTGATATACATTAAGGAAACGTCTTTTGTTTAAATTGAGGAAGTATTATTAAGACAAGGAAAACTAAAGAACCGATAAGTCAGCGATGGTCGGAATTTTCTATGAAATAAATTAACATATTTCTTTGAGAAAAAGAATATCTCGACCGAGCGAGTCCCAGAAATGGATTACATTTCTGATCTACTGAAGTACTTCAATCTCACCACCTATATATCTTTCCTTAATTACGGCTCGTGTTTTCCTCTGCCGCTATTAACCGTCTTGTTTTTAGTTTAGTTGAAAAACAAAAATATTTTCAAAAGCAAAAATATCTCGCAATCTATAGTCTAATTGTACGTCTTTTACAATTCTCACCAAAAGAGACTACTGTAAACATTATTCGCCTTCTTAGAAAGAGGCTTTCAAAACCTCAAACTTAATTTGGCATTGTTTGCTGTTCAGTTCAGTTAATTTTCTAACCGCATTTTTGCAGTTCGTTTTTTCTCCATATCTCTTCAATTATCTTGATCTTCACCATAAGTAATCACTTTTCATTTTGCAAACGTATCCAAACGAAACTTCTTCTCTCTGATTTGCGTCAGAAATGAATAATCTTATAGAAGAGATTTTGACGTGTTGTGAAGTCACTCGCTCTCTCTTTTTATCACGCAAGACTGGGCATCTTTTCTATGTCCTAAAATTTTCGGCAAAGTTACCAAACGTAAAGGGAAAAATAAATCTATTTGTGATTGGAAACTGTGTCGTGAATGTAATCATTTCCTGCGCGAAAAGTGTCTATACATTTTTTAACACTTACTTCATACGTTAATTTTCGCTCTTCGAAATAAGAGGTACGCGAGAAGTTTCAAAACGAAAAAAAAAAAAAAAAATCAAAAGATACCTATATTCTTTATACAAGGCTAAAAGATTAGGAAAAAATTATTAAAATGTTTGAACCAAACGTTTTCGACTGTTTGCCATCATCAAGGTTGGTAATGACCCTGATGATGGCAAACAGCCGAAAACGTTTGGTTCAAACATTTTAATAATTTTTCCTAATCTTTTAGCCTTGTATATAGAATATACTTTATGAAGCGAACATTATGGACAAAAGATACCTAATTTAGGAGTTTCTTGAGATGTACGTAGACAGAGCAACTACACTTCAAACTTCCAGCGTGTTTTAATGTGTGGATGAATGCATACCTGACACCCGAACTAACTGTTTCTCGTTATTTTCAACGCGGTAGTTTGAATGTCCCATGATGAGAAATTCCTATCTTTAGCTTCGATGCTTCGGTCATAATATGAAGGATGTGTGCGCTACTGAATTTGAGAACATTGGTCTACTAACTATGTTTTTGCTAGTAATTTTCCTTTAGTCATCATGGCTTGTTGCAAACAATTATGTAAGTGTCTTAGAAAGTTTCAGCTTTGAATAAAGATTAATTCTGTCGCATCGTGAAACCAAGCAGATGATCCTTCCAGCAACAAGATTGAAGCTGTCTGCGCAAGGCAGAATACAAGATTCTCGCTTGAGCAAATGGGAGTCCGGTAGTCTCATTTTCCTGCCCCAACCGAGAAAATTCGAATACGTATTTGAAAACAACTCCCATGCTTTTGTGTTACATGTTTTTTTTTTTTTAATTACTTATTGACGTTTTCGTATTTCTGACTACAAGAAGGCGTGAGAAATAAAGTATCTGTCAAGGCTAATGCATTTGCTGAGTTCTTATCTGACACCAAAATGCATGCATTTAAAGTCTCGTCAAAGATGTTGAATTTCAGTCAGTGCAGCGCTATTTTCACTTGACAACTTATTTGAAGTATATTTACAAGAAAATCAAAGTGGAAATTTCATTCGTAAAATTCCACAACATTATCAGCTTGCCCTTTTTGACAGACGCTGTTTGGCATTAGGTATGCGACTGAAACCGAATGAAAAAAAGTCGTAGCTGTTAAGATGAAAAGAAGAATTTCCATGCGTTGAATGGCTGAGCAAATATATTGATCCGGCAGTATTTGAAAAAAGAAACAAACTGCCATGCGTTTTGAGCTTTGATGAAGAGCCATGGCTTAAATATTTGGAAACCTTCAATCTCATGGTAATTTTTGTTTCACAATCCTTTACTGACAATTAAACTTTAAATCAAAATTTTTATTGGGAATTTAATATGGTAGATTGAATTGAAAAGACGTTTTTATGAAGAAAACGGCGCAGTAGGGTTGTACTAACCTCAAATTTTAAAGATAAGAATGACTGATGAGGGCTTATCCCTGGCGAGATATGAACGATTCGATCGACTGTCATGATTGCTCACGACTGTTGATGCTGGAAAGAGTTCACAACTCTGCATTTGTAATAGCAATGGAAATATAGTTGTTAGGGAATTTAAGTAAAGCAATATTTTAAAAAGTTAGGTTGCGCAATGTTGATATAATGCGAAGTCATTTTAAGCAAACACAGCCGGTATAATTGGAAAAAGTCAATGCAAATCAACTGATGTCTCTTCAAGATTATTCCCATCAATTCTCAAGCAAAATCTCGGAAGTTTGATATCTGTGAGCTCCTAGTCATTTTAGCGGTTATTTCTGAACATAAACAGTCTTACGTGGGGCTACTCCCATCTGGAAAAACCTGGACTTTCGTCCTCTAGAAAGAAGGGCAATGTTCACATCGCCCCTTATCTGAATCTGTATTTAACATAGACGCAGACATTGTTGTTGGTTTCTAAATGTTTTAATACTTTTAAAAATAATAAATTAATATCTGCAAGCCTTAACTTAAGAATATTAAATATAGAGAGTTTTATTCACATATACGTAAGTGTTAAAGGTCAGCGATCATTCTTCAGATGATCCCAGTTGTTTGCCTTTCTTGGCTATCAACGCCTCTCCGCGAAGGAACGCATGTTTCGGGTTTGAGACATCCATGACCTTTTTCCATTTCTACCTCTCTGTTTTAAAAATAAAAAAGAAAGTTTAGACGTATCATATATTTTGCAGTGTTTAGTTTTCACCTTAAGACCCTTTTTTCCAAGCATAGCCGCCTAAAACAGTTACTAGAAACCCCTGCCCCCTGCTTCTACTCTCTCTCTCTTTCTTCTCTCTCTTACCTCCCCCCTCCCTCCCCCCCTCTTCCGCTCCGCCTCACATTCCACCCACGTATCACGACTTGCAACACTCTTTTAGATAATCTTGCCTGTCTGGGGTTAGAAAAATTTTGGAAGTTTTGCCGTGTTATCTTATCTTCCCTATCCTTCGTACCCACTTTTCTGGACACCATCAAGGTTTAACCAAATTACGACTACGTAAGAACCTTATCATTTACTTAGATTCGGACTACCAATTCTGTGAATGAGGTTGTAGGTGCTACTGGAAATCCCGGCCTTCGAATTCGTTTGCTTTTATTCAATACATGTTTGGTTTAATTCAACACCACATTTCGGAATGAGAAGATATGAACATTCTCCTTGTTATTGTTTTTGTACAATTGCCAATATCTGACTTAAAGTACTTTCAGGGGTTTCAACAAAAGCCGCTGACCGACGGTCTAACGCCACCTGCCAGGCCTTTTATCGCCGTCCATTGACCCCGCGAACAGGCTCTCGGCGTGTTTGGATTTCGCCTTATGGCCTTTTTTTCAAAAACCCTTCAAACCCCTGACTTTTAAAAAGACATAGACTTTCCTTGAGTTGAGGTGTGTGCAAGTCAAGCTAAGGTATCAAATTCTTTAACCATTCATTGGAGCATTATGTCATTGAGGGGTGTGCAAGTCAAGCCAAGGTATCAAATTCTTTAACCATTCATTGGAGCATTATGTTATAGAGGCATATGTGTTTGCTTTTTACCGGGCATCCATAGTACGAAAAGCCACAAAGATTATTGCCCCGTTTAATTTCCTTGAATCGCCTAGCTGCTAACGATCTTAGGTACGCTGAAGAGTGTTCGTCGTCAGTGCTTGATATATCTGGATCTGAAGTCGCTGTGACGTCATGGATAAAGATGCTAAGAACGACGACCGTGAGTAATAATGCATGTAAAACTTGCATTTTGTTGATATGCGCTTGTTTCCTGTTTTAAAAGAAAATAAGTTGTTGAAAATCCATTCAGTACAATTTCGCTGTATTCATCTTTGTGTATGTAAGATTATGTTACCCCTTCTAATCGAGTAACTGTCCTATAAAGTGGTGTTGCGTCGGTGGGGGAGGGGGGAGTATAACACGCAAAGACATGGTTATCAAAGTAGGGGGGGAGGGGGGAGTATAACACGCAAAGACATTGTTATCAAAGTAGGGGGGGAGGGGGGAGTATAACACGCAAAGACATTGTTATCAAAGTAGGGGGGAGGGGGGAGTATAACACGCAAAGACATTGTTATCAAAGTAGGGGGGGGGAGGGGGGAGTATAACACGCAAAGACATTGTTATCAAAGTAGGGGGGGGGAGGGGGGAGTATAACACGCAAAGACATTGTTATCAAAGTAGGGGGGAGGGGGGAGTATAACACGCAAAGACATTGTTATCAAAGTGGTCGACAGGAGCGGCGCAGTAGTTGTTTGGCGGCCGGGCCGATCTCTAACAAAAAGAAGATTTTGTGACATATTTCTCAACACTTCTTTTTATCAAAATGTTGACAAAAATCCTACTTCCTTTAACCAAAACATTGTCAAAAACACGATAACCGATCTTATAGCTCAACAAGAATTGCCGGCCACCGGTAAAAGTCTCCCCATCACCACTTCTAGAGCTTCTTGTATTTTCTGCCTACCTAAAATCCACAAACCTAACAACCCAGGTTGACCCTTTGTCTTAGAATGCAATTGTCCCACCGAACTTATTTCCAGCTATTTAGACAAAATTGTTGCTCCTATCGTCAAAACCGTTACCGTCATACATTAAAGACAGCAAACACGCACTTGAAATTTTCGCGACTTATGAACGCAAAGTTCTTTTCACAATGGATATAACATACCTATAAAACAGTCATTCCCAGAGGCGAAGGTCTCCTGACCTTCAAACATTTTTTTTTTATCAACGTACTGTTAAGGAACCTATTTCTGAAACATCACACCGCCTAATCGAACTAGTCCCCTATTAGCTTATAGCTTAAAGTTTTTCATTCATTCATTTTTTCATTCTAGTGCTTACACTCCATTGCCTTTCATTCGGGGACAACTATTATAAACAAACTAATGGCGTAGCCATGGGTACCAAAATGGGACCCAGCTACAAGATATCTTTTGGTAGGTTTTTCGAACACCCAATTTTCAATCAAGACAACGACCCCAAACCTGAACTTTACGGTCGCCAAATTGACGACTGTATCGGCGCCACTTCCTCTACCACAGAGTAGCTAACTCAATTTATATCCGCAGTCAATTCCCTTCACCCGGCTCTTAAATATAGCTGAGAAATATCGAAAAATTAATTGTCCTTTTTAGACATCAAAGTTTCAATTGAAGGCAACGGTTTTTGCACGAGTCAGTCCGCACTACAAAAGTTACAGAAGGAAAATATCAATCCCGCTCCATTCACTCTCACATTCACCTTCACAACCACGCAGTTAAATCCGTCATTCAGACTTCAAAATAATTCAGAGAACACCTTCGCGTCGTAGAATTCTTAGCAGCACATGGTAGTCTTTCTTTACATCTAGGCAGCTTGGAAATCCGCAAACTCTAGAACAAAAATTTATCTTTCAAATCGGCACTCTTAATCCCCACGGTATCAACAAACGCTTTTCATGTCCATAATGTTCGCTTAACAAAGGATATTCTATATACAAGGCTAAAAGATTAGGAAAAAGATTATTAAAATTCTTAAACCAAACGTTTTCGGCTGTTTTCCATCATCACTTTATTCCCTAATCTTTTAGCCTTGTATATATAGAATAAACGCTTTTCATTCAACTAATTTATTCTATTTTTTCTCGTCACCATTTTCCCTTCAGGAGCATAGCCTCCATTTTCTGCATAGAAACACACGCGCCACCCACAATTCCTCCATTCACTCTGACGAGAAGTTAATGCTCGGGACGTTAGCTTCAACTCAGTTGATAAAACTAAAATTACGTAACTATCCCATAATTGCGAGACACCTGTCACCACACATGTTGACTATTTGTAAAGACTGCAAAACTGCGAAGCTGATAGCAACGAGTCCTAGAAAGTGCAATCAGCATCACGCACGTGGAGAGGATTGCTTTTCTTCAAATCCTTTTTCTTAAAAGTTGTAAAATAACATCCAACACGTGTAGTCAATGGTTGTATCATCTACTGTTCGGAAAAATACCAAGAAATTTGAAATATTTACCTTTTGCCTCAAAGCAACTATTTTTTGGTAGTGAATAGAGTTGCTAGTCTTTCGGTGTAGACGACAAAATATTAAAAGCCAAATTCAGGACTCAAAGCTGCTGGACATTTCAAATAATTCCCAGTATTTGCTTTCATATAAATACAATAAAGTGCTTGAAGAGCGAAAACAACAGATGAATAAAACAGAAAAAAGATGGAAAAGAGAGAGAAAAATGAAATCGTACACTTACAGTTCATTACTTCAAAGTAGCTATGAGAATAATTTTTCGGAGTATTTTTAATAAATCACTTTTAAATTCAGCACCTGAGTATTAAAGTAATGAAGCGAGAGACAGTTGTTTGCTTACATGAAGCGTTAAAAATTTAAACGAATAAATCAAAATGTAAGAAAGTGAAGTTTATCTAAATTTATTGTTATCCTTTACAATTTTGAAGTTATCGTTGAGTTCGTTCGGCGCTCGTATATACCTTAATGTGTATATACTTTCATCCTTTCAGAGTATCAAAACAAATACTCAATTCAAAAAATGATCGCTGATCGAGGCAAATGCATATGTTCGTGTTTCAAGTTATCTTCAAAGGGCAAAATTAACTGAAACTTCTCATTAGAAACAACCCTTGGATATAACAATATTAAAATGGCACCTTTTATGCTTACCTCGTAAACAGAGCGTTCGCTTTGCTAGTGCATACGATGGAAATGATGTCTTCTTCGTTAAGTAGCAGGTTCTTGGTTGAGTATTTCTGCTTATTAAGTCTTCATATTTATAAGGAGTTTTCACAATGACTTCCCGCCCATCCAATTTCCGCCGACAACTCATTAATTCACTACGCTTGAAATAACTTTTGTTCTTGCATTTCCTTTTGGCGTCGCTGTGTTTAAACATTATGACAGCTATGGACTCGTTAGTGTTGGCCTTGTCCAAAGTGGCAATTAAAAAGAAGAAGCTCGCAATTTCGGAATGAATTATCATTGCGTCTTGCTTAATGGACTTCTTTAGAAAGACAAATCATGAACCTGAAATTTTCGCAATCTTAACTTCAAATTAATTCTTCTGAAGAATTTTCGACGTCAGTCCCCTGTCCTATAGTTGGAATCACAGTATATCGTTGCGATATAACTTGCAAACGTTATCTCGCGAGTAACCAACAAAAGTTACATTTTAGTATGACCTGTATTGCGTTATTTTTTATCGATCAACATCTACTACATAGCCTGGATGTAATACTTTTCTTTCGGTCGTCCCTCTAAATAGGAATATATTTATTTAAGATGCAAAAACTTCTTATCTTTGAAGTTCAAATTTGCTACAAAAAGTGGTGCCCACGATAGTGATTTTTTTTAATGCATCAGACGCCAGGAACTTTTGTTGAAATTTGAACTACAACAAAATGAATAAACAAGGAGAAAATACTTACAGCAATAACTTGAGCGCTAGGAAATAATGATTTAACTGTCTGCCAGTTCTGTGAGATCCGGCGTCTTCCGTTTGAAAAATGAAACAGCTTTTAGTAATTGAAAAACATGTGTCGTGCTCTAATAGAAAATATTAAAACCCAAATTAACAGTGTTTGCTTAAAGTACAGCTCCTTTCCTCTAAATCTTCACTTGGGTTAGTCGTTAGGCCGCGCTATATATATCTTCTCAATTAAGGTTTTTCTGAGTTTATCTTTTTACAATCTCATTTGACACTTGCCGACAAAGAAGCTTTCAAGAGATATGTCGTGAAAATTTCAAGGGGAAATCTGCAAAACTGAACAAATCCCTGACTTTCCGTCCTACACCAAATGATAATCTTCTATTTTCGTCATCATAGGGAAGAAGATTTTGTGTTACCAAAGAAACTTGGACACCATTTCTTACATTTACGAGGGGTTAAATTTCAGCTGGTAAAGTGCTCGAAATCATATTCAGCATGATGAGTGATTTATTTATTTTGTTACATGGTTAGACATCGCGCAAAAAGGTCTAGTTTGATAATTTTTAATATATAAAACACAAACAGTTCATCTCTGGGAAGTTTATAATATTTTTGAAGTAAATAGATCAGAGTAAGATCAAAGATATAATGATATACTTCGAATGAAACCTCTCGATCCAAAATTCTACAAAATGTGTTGAGCATTTATACATGTCTTTTTCTCGTGGGAAAGGACCCAAACCAACATATTCTTTACTAATTACCATTTTCTATAAAGAAAAACTTTCCAAAACACGATTGTTACTTGTATTATGGCCTCAGGGTCATTTAGTGATGTGTACGAGTCTAATAAGCTTTTGAATTGGTTGTTATTGTGAAATTACTTAACAAAAATACATTGAGTATATAAGTTCTCTTGGAAGAACTCTCTATACGCTTCAGAAATTGCTAGAAAAGGTTTAAACTGAACGAGAGCTTTTTAAAAATGTTTCAAAGAAATTTTTTATCTACGCTGCGTTTTCTTTTCTTTTTCTTTTTCCACATTCTCTGTTTTCATTGCTATAGTTTACGATAACACTAGTTATGTTTAATCCCTTTGCATAAAAGGAGCAAGATTTCCTTCTGTTAATTTGGATGGTGATAAATTTATTTTGTGACGTATTTTTCAAAGACTTCGCATAGCTTGAAACCGTTTTTAAGTACCTTCTGCGAATGAAATATTCAAATAATCGCATTCGTAAATTTTTTGTTGATTTTTAAAGGTAGTGGTACTTTTTTGTACTTACACGCCGGCCGCCCTTCATTAACAAGTACTTTAACAGCTTTATATATGTCTCTGTCATTGTTAAGACAACTACGTACAGTTTCTTCGCTCAGAGGCAAAAACTATCCTTTCTTAACAAAATAATGACTTGATGTATTCCTGCATATATTATGACTGGGTGGATGTATTTTTCCCTATATCCTTATTTATCTGTTTATTTAATTTCCGATGTAAGGTTCATAGGTGGTAAAGAAGTTGTCCTGAGCGAGAGAGAGGAAATATAACGACCTATATATAAAGAGAAAAATACACATCTAAAACATAACTTACTTGCATTATGTAGGATTTTCATTAGCTTATCCAACTTGATACCTCTTAAACAAAATTTTAGAAGAATCGGATTCAAACTTTTCTATGAGTTCATAGTTCCCAAAGAGGAACAAAAATATCGATTATAATGACAAAGAGGTTCAGATTGAAGTTTAAGTTATTTTTCAAGAGAATTCAAAGTAATAAGGTAATACCTGTACTTTCTTCAAAGTGAAACGCTGACGACGAGTTCAAACATTTCAAGACGTTGCCACGTTCGTAGGCAATTCTGATTGGTTCACAAATTCGGATGCTATTCGGTTTTTACGACGACTTATCAAAGTGAAAACGAGGCTCGGTTTTCTTTCAGTTAATTATTAAATTTTGTGCGGAACTTCCTCATTTTTCCTTGTAAGTATATATAGAAAAAAACCTAACCTAAGCAAACTTAAGTTTATAAAATGAAGCTTAGATGTACGAGAACCTATGTCAGGCCACCTCTCTGTCATAAATAATAAATTATATTTTTGTTTTACATTGGAAGTGTAAACTGCAGGATATCAATTGTCTTGGTGACAAAAAAAAGCCGTACTGTGGCAAAATGTTTGACTTATCTGATGGATAGGAATTTCTTTTCTCTTTGGAAAAGCTCAAGCTATAATAAAACCATGCAGCGATGTGTCATTACTAATTTACAAATGTGTGGTCATTTGACCACCTTATTGAGGAACAACTCTTGGGTTATTTTTTTTCTATTTTGTGTTGTTATCCAAAGTATCAACACGGAAGATTTTAACGCAGACTTTCGGTTCTGTGTACATCAGGGTTTTATATCGTTGTAACGTTTTCTGCAAAACTTCCGGATGACGAAACTTACATTGTCAAAACGTAGGCGTTTGACCTAAAATTTAATCTCCGTTTGCCTGTGATTGATATGGTTGTCAAGAGAAGATTTTTAATTATCACTCGGTTTGAAGAGGATGCCACTTCACTGAGTCCTTCAAGCGGCTTTGTGTTGATATTGGTGTCTGTCAATTTATAGGCAATGTTATTTATCGATATGCGGGGGAAGCATTTGGTTTCAAACGGCCTGACAGTTCATTGAGAATTTTTTTAGAACAAGTGAATACAAAGGTCATATTGTGATTGATACACGTCACAAACGCTGGACGTGTTCTTAGAACAATCAAATAAAAAGGTCTATATTAGCTAATACTCTATGTGTGCTCCTCGAGGAAGGATCTCAAGTTGACAAAAAAGGGAAGTCAGTTTAGGACACTTTATGGCAAAAAACTGACTGATACCTCTTGAGAAAATTCCACATTTATTGAAATACCGTTTTTTTTTTCTTGACCATTTTGATCGGCTGCGATTTTTCGCTGGATTCAAGTTTTGAGTGTCGACGTGACCTTCGATTCTATATACTGTTTTTTACCAAAAGCAAAGGAAAAGAAAGTTGGTTTCTTTCTCCTTTAAATGGGACACTTCGGCTTTCGATTGGTCCAAATTTTTAGTCCTTGTTACTCAAAGGACCAATTGCACGCAACCAATATCGTACATCCTCTAAATAATAAAAAAAATATATCGAAAATGCAAATGAGGAGCAGGACTTTTTTCATCCTTCATGTATCCTTTTCATGACCCTTTAATTCATCAGTGAATTTGGCCGAAATAGCAACACGAAAAGTAAAAGAAAATATCGTGCACCTTCTCCATCCCCATTTTATTTCTATTCTATCAGCGGTTTACAATAGTTGATAAACCAGTAATGAAACAACCTCATTACATATTTTAAAATTAAAATTAACATTTTTAAAATTTAACTAGATTGAATTAAATTTGATTTATTTTAATTTAGTTAAAATTTTGATACTTTGGCTAAGTGAGAGATTTCTGCAAGGGCTCTAGAGAGTTACAAAGTGGAAAACGTAACATGTAATAGTTATGGTTATGCCCTTTTCTTACATATTTTCCAAGCAATTCATGGTAAAGAAATGAGGGCAAATTTCTTGAAACATTCCACGATTCCGTTTACAAATTTGAACAAAGCATGGTTACCCACTCCATGCCAAATAATATGATCAAGATGATTGCTTTAGTATTACTATAATTTACTCTAAATAAATATTTCTAATGTTGCGTAGATACATCATGATCCTTTACTCTTCATTTATCCAATCGTTAAACAAGGCATCCATATCATCAGATCCAAATGAGCTGAATGATGTTCCTTGGTCAGCTATTCCCCTCTGTAAAAATGAATGAGGTTATATCTATATTTTTCAGGAAGTATTTATCTGTGGTTATAGTAGTACTATACTTTATTAACGAGGGTAACGTTTGAAATGAAAAACGTTGAACTGATGAACGTTTGACCCTCAGAATAAATGAAAGCCGAAATGAAATAATAATAATATTTATTGATAAATTCAAACATGACATTCTTGTAGTTCTCGATCGGGAACAGGGGGCGTAGATTTTAAGAATACACACACGTTTATTGCGAAGCAAGAAGAACACAACTAAATCAAATCACATCACAAGTGAATAATGATTAATGCCTATGTATGCGTACGATGGCCAAGGTACTAATATGATGGCCGCTGAAACGGAGCCCAAGCAATATTACGACACATATAAGCTGTGAACATCACTTGTGATAGAAATAGTTTCATTAAAATGTGAGTATTCTAAAATAATTTTCAACAATTTGAAATTGACTGACATGAATGATTGTGTGAGAATTTAATCATTTGAAATCGATTTAAAAAGATAACGCTTTACATTTTTAGCACTAGAACAACAGTTGAGGGCCAAATCAACATGCTACATTCCTTTTTCTCACAAGAAACGTCCGACTACGTCTAGTGCTTCTCTAATGTCTGCCGTGTTAACTGTGGCTTAGAAATTGTACACATAGTTTTTCTAGTGTTGGGTATTAGTATAGCAAAAACAAATAAGCAAGAAAACGAGCAAACAAACAAAGAAAATGCTGCCACCGAGGCGTTTTTCAATGACACTTTTCCTGAAGATAACTGAGTAAATGAGTTAGACGCGCAGTAGGAATCTCATTTCTCGATTTTCTGATTGAAATTTAAGATATCCAAAGAGATTTATCCCTTTCAAATCAAATGACTCGTGCGGCATAGGGCAGAAGAGGTAGAAAGCTTTATTCTCATTTCGGAAGTTGGAGTTTTACTTTTCTGTTGAATAGTGTACAAAAATCATTTTTGATTTGAATATTTCATTAATTTCTATATGTGAAACAAAATATCACATGTAAACTCTGTCTACGAATTTTTCTTCATGCACTATTTAGATCGAAGATAGAATTGTCGCGTTTTATGGTTATCTCACCCTCTTGTCCCAATAACTTCGCTTTCCACGGCCTTTACACCTCCCAAAGTGCCACGTCAATCCACAGGGCTTACGCTTCCGTCTCTTTTCAATTTCATCTCTTAATTCTTGAATTTCTCTTTTCAGTACTTGAGAGATTTCAGACGCCTCGCTGTAGTGTGAGGTGTGCAGGAGAAGTACCACTACAAGAGCAGCCAGGAAGAGCAGCGAAACTTTCATCATAGCACTTTTTATCAACCCACTGGAATGTGAATGAGAAAAGGTTTACTTTATGCCGAGAATGAAGGAAAAACCGTATAGATAACAATATCATCTCCAGTACAAGATAAAAACATCGGTCATTTAAGCAATAGACCGCTCTTTCTATCGCGCTGATAGAAAGTGCGGTCTATTCCTTTGATAAGATAAAATTAAAACAAAATGCAGATTCAATTTTCTGTGGTTTTACCGGTGCAATAAGCGCTAGGCTTTTGACCAATCATGGAGCTTGTAGTATCTCAGTCATGTTATAAAAAGCTTTTGGCACTGCATTTTTTTTTAATGTTAGTGGAGATGGTAAGTACACGTATTCGATAAGCCAGTGTAAATGCTTCCTACAGGCAATAAGTTTTAAAAGTTAACAAAAAGGCTTCTGAAAATAGGGAATACAAATAATCCGATCTTTTCCATCAAAGGCATGCCTATAATGGAGTGTGGCGATCTATATTTGAAAGGAGCATAAATTCGATGAAATAAAAGAGCTGAGGGATCTTAACTTAAGATAACCAAGGAGCTTCTAAATACATATGATAGACGATCCTCGCAGTAAATAGCGCTATTTAAGCAATAGCGAAAATCAGACCTGGAAAAAAATCAGGCCTGTACGGGACTCGAACCACTGACCTCTGCGATACTAGTGCAGCGCTCTACCAAATGAGCTAACAAGCCAACTGGGAGCAGGCCGTTAAGTTGATTCGTAATAAACCCGTGAAAGTGATAAATGAGATACAATGAAATATATGAAGTTCATATATTTTGTACTGCGGTATACTGAGCTTCTAAATATCAGAAAAACTGCTGAAATGTCACATTAGTTGCATTAAAGCAAAGAATAGCTTTTGCCTTTTTCTATCTTTGTACAAACAAAAAAAGGATTTGGAGGGAGGCGTGTCAAAATGAAGTGAAAATTTTACAGCCAAGTTAAAGGGCGGTTGATTTTATTGGGCAAAGGTATTTCAATTTTCATTTTTTTTATGCCCGATGTCAGTAGAATTAATCGCATAAAGGAAATGATAATATGTAGAGGGGGTGCCAGCTTCGTAGAACGTGACCAGGTCTACCTGCCTTTCACAAGAATTTACACTTTCTTTTCGGATATTGCGTGGGTAAAATTGCATACACGCCATCCAGTGCAGTAAGCATAGCTACATGAGTAGTATAGAGCTTGAAACAAGCCTTATAAGAAATATAGGCGACGCCTATACATGAATTCAGCTGCCCTTTGCTTAACAGCAAAAATTTCTTGGCACCTATCCAACTGATTGGAATATTAATAACAATGACATACGTTAAGATGAAAATTGCAAACGAAGAAAACTAATCAAGTTTTCCAAATCCCAGAATTTCCATTCACACGCTTTCGTATGTGATGGTGAATAGTTTTCCTTTATACGATGAGAAGACTATGATAATGATCAAACATTAATAAAAGATCGATAATAATAAGAAAAAACTACTGTTATTATTTCTTAATCAAAAATTCGGAAGAAATCAATAATGTCTTCATAAAAGCTGTTTGTTCAGGCCCGCGCATTGTTATGAATTTATTTGCGGTTCTTTTTGTGGGAAAGTGACATTCATATGCTTCATAAAATTAGTTTTCATTGTCAATTTGTTAACTTGAATAGAAAAAAACTAGACATTGAGATTCATGAAAGCACTTAGTTTCATTCGGAAGGGAAGTTTCCTTTTGCCTTTAAACCGATATCCATCGCCATGTCACTTAGAGGTACTCGTTGTTTTGTGGTTTCGTTGGAACAAATTTCAAATTCAAATTAGCTGGTACACAAGGATCCTCTGTTTTTCTTTGTTTTTTTGACAGAGTGTTTTGGTAAGTAAAACCACTGTTTGCCATCAGCAGTGTAGGATAAATTTAGTTGAGAGATCCCGTTGATACCTTGTAACAAATACCAACTTAGGTATGAAGCCTTGGCCCGAGAGAACCTGCTCAGAGCAAAAAACATTCTTTTATTTTATGTAATCCCAGATATCTTGAACCCTAAATTTCACTTCGTTTTGTACAGCAATTCTGGTATTGAAACAAATAACCAGTTGTTAAATGAAGCAAAAGTCAGGTATTGACCATCCCTCCACGTAAAACTTTCTTTCTAATGTTGTCCCAGCTATCGATTTGAAAAGGAGAGGACCTTCTACAATAGCTATGAACTTTTCTTCAGCAGTCCATTCCTCAAGTTGAACCACTTAACTTGCAAAAATGAAGCAAAAAGGTGCCAATAAAAAAGACCGTACAGTAAATTTTCCTAAACTCACCTTGCTTAGCGTTCTCCAAAAACTCTGTCTTAGCTCCTGATTTTTCCCAACAATAGCCAATGCTGAGTTCCGATTTTTAATTTTTAAACACCGTCGCTTTTCTTGGCTATCTTCTTATAAAGTGGTTGCACTAATGACCAAAACGCCTGCGTACTCGTGATGGAGCCAATGAACATCTTGATGGCCTAAGTCTCGAAAACGCATCTACGGTTTAGCTAAGGCTGATGGTTTTCGTAATCTTCATTCATCGAAATACCGAAATATTGCAATTTAATAAACCATGCCAAAGAAGGACAATTAGTACCTTGCAAACTTTTAATAGATTATCGATACAAATACGATTTAAAATAGAAATGATTCCTTCAACAATTTTTAAAAAAATAGATTTTTAGCCTTTAGGGAATCTTGCCTCTTGAAAAACTCGCGCAATATTAAAAAAAGGACGAATCCCAATTAGTCTAGCGATTACTTAAACTAACGATTTTTACATGTTGTGCAAAACTTTCGGTCGCCCAATAGCCAATGATAATGAAGTTTTGGTCGTAGGATCTTTCGGATTATATCTACGGATGGTAAAAGATAATGGGGAAGACAACATTTGTGGGGACTAATAAGAAAAAATTTGCATAATCATGCAAGAATTCAGTGTTGATTACCCGGGTAAATGCCAATAATTTTGCGTCAAAGGTTCAATAGTTTTTAAAGCCTATAGATTAATTTCATTATTTTAATTTTTTAAACCATACAATTGGGTGCAATTCTGTTTATTTCGAAATTTTCTATCTTTACCATTTTTATTTTGATATTTTTTCTTGTAGGAGTTTTGCTATCTTTCGTTCATTGATAATAACTTTACGTTTGAGCTATGACGTCAAAAACAGACAGAATTAAACCACAATACTTTCCCTCCCTGTCTCATAGTTATCATGATTTCCCTTTTAGTTCCATTACCTTGGTAAATTAGAAAAATTATTAACACTATCTTAAAATACAATGAAGAGAGAAAAAAAAAGCATAATCCACATAAAACTTTATCTAGTCGCTGCTTTTTTACATGATATGAGATAATTCTTCGAAACAACAAGGAATGAACCTGAGTATTTTGGGAAATTTTGGGAAAGGTGTATCTTTAAGATAGAAAAACTCCTAGTATTGAAAGGTATTTCTTTAGGTTTTAGGATAAACATTCAAAGTATTTTGCAAAATTAAAAGGTCGAAGTCTGTTTCTCCCGTATTTGTTTTTGTCTATTCAGAAATCATTTCGATCCTTCCTGGAAAGAAACCTTACATCAGTGTGGTTTTTTTTTTGTTAACCTGAATAGTAGCCCTTCGGTCGTGTTCATAAAGAACTGGATAGAAATATCATAAAAATCTGTCATAGGGTGCGCCTATTGATACTGTGTATTTCGATGAAATGTTTTGTTTAGCTCCACATTTTGAATTTTTGTTTTTCAACATCGTATTTTGCGGGTGGACATGCAATTTTCACTTGTCACTTTTTTTTACCTTATTTCTAGTTATCTTCAATTAATAAATGGTAAACACCACAGCGTACACTATTGAGTTATGGATGCACGCGGGAGGTTGCTAAGCACGAAAGAAGCGTAAGAGTCGCTCGAGGCGATAGCGGAGAGCGACTCTAGCTTCTTGAATGCTTAGTAAACCTCCCAAGTGCATCCATAACTCAATAGTGTACGCTGTGGTGTTTACCATTTGTTTTATAACATAACATTGATACATTGGAACAAGAGTTTCTCTTTTATTTAACAAATCTTACGTGACCAGAAAAAACAAGCACGCGCGGAAAAATAGCCTTTGCATTTGCTCACGTCAGCAGCGTACACCCATGGGCAAATGGGGGACGCTAAATTGACCAATCAGAGCGCGCGCTTTGCTTTGGTTATGTTATAAAGTCACTTAATTTCACCAAAAGGTTAAAATACGTATTTCAGAGGACATTCATTTCGCAATTTGTTAACAAGCAAACGTTTAAGTTCACCAAAAAAAGATCCAACTTTAAATTTTTAACTGCAGTATCCAAATGAATAACAGAACTTCTTAGAGGAGAGAGAACCAGAAGGATCGATTTGGACCGAGTGCAGGTTATTAAATTTCTCGAGAGTACTGAAATACTTTTTTCCTTTGTTTTCGATTTAACTTTGGACTCTTGGTAATCGTAAATTTTAAAGACCCAGGAGAATGAGTGAAAATAAATGAAATGAGGCCATGATTGAAATTGTCTTGAAAGAAGTATCGTCAAGGCAGTGATAAGCGTAAAAATCTTAAAATAGGGAAAAGTAAGCTTTCTAAACTTGCTCTGAGTCTCTTTGATTGGACTATAATGATTTATGGCTAAATTTTGACTAGTTCCATTCAACAGTAAGAATTTTACGTATGATGCACGATCCTCGCAGTAGATAGCGCTATTTAAGCAATACGTATCTAATACCGCAGTTCAAAATATATGAACTTCATATATTCCATTGTATCTGAGTAAGAATTTTATAGGAAGCATTCAAAGCGTCGTTAAGAATAATTATGATAGCTCTGGATCTAGCCTCACTTCATTCCTGAAAAATGAATATCGTTTTTAGTTTCCCCTGAAATCTGTTTACACCGTTTTGGTATCACTTTAAAGGCGTGCTTAGCCGAACGTTCTCTGAAATAATTCTTACCTATGCATCACCTTTCGTAAGAGAGATGAATTACTATATAATCACTTACTCTAATGAAGTTTGTACTAATTTTAACGTGCAGATAGCAAATGTTAGAAGCAAGGACCTCGAACTTTCCACTTAACTCCACCCAAACGGAAAAATACATTGCAAGTCAGGGGAAAATGAGATACTAGATCTGCTGAAGAGCCTTCTTAAATTATATTTTCAGCACTTCAAGATTAATTCAATAGCTAATAATGACCTTTCTCCTCCAACGCTTCCTGTCTTATAGTATATTTTGCATAGTACTTATAAAGGTGAGAAATTTGAACCCCTCCTGAGAATTTTAAAATGAATTTCGAAAGGTGGGCGTTTTAGGCTTTCTGGAACATTTTTGCAATAAGTATGGTTATAAAAAGAAAAATATGAAATTTTCGATTTGTACAGAAAACTTCAAGACTCATGAAGGAGCAGAAGAAAGGCGAGTTGATGATAAACTTGCATCTTTGTGATTTGATTTAATCCATTCAAAGTGGAGTTAAAGGCTCATAGCTTTCCATCAAAATGAGATATCATCTAATATTAAATTGGTGTGATGCAAGGAGGAGTTCTAAAATTAATGTTTTTGGTTTTTGAAACGATTGTTTTCCTCTTACGTGCGTCAGTGAGTGCGACATCTGCCATTGTTCCTTCAGAAAGTGGACTCCCCATATTTTTGACAAAGGAGACACAGTTTTTGCGTTGGGCCAAGACGCAGACAATTTTAGACATACACAAAGGAAAGGAAAAGTATTTGGAGGAAAATGTTGAAAAGGAAGAAAAAAAATCAGGTAGGGAGGAACGAAGAAAAGACAAAAAACAGGCAAAAGCAGAGAAAAGAGGAAATTAAAGAGAATTAATCAAAGAAAAAAAGTAAAGTAGAAAAAATGAAGCAAAACAAAAAATAGAGAGCGAGAATGGGGAGGAAGAAGGATAGAATACATAATAAATACTGCCTTTTTATCAACTATTAGACATTCCCCTCCTGAATAAGAATAAGTTCCCTCAATAAATTAGTGAAAATTATAGGATGAAAATTTTATTTTATTTTACTCGGATTTGTGTTCTGATCGAGGTAGTTACCTTTACATTTAATTCAAAAATTATTTTTTAAAAAATCAAAGACATGCTGAATTGAGTCATTTTTAGAAAAAGTAGACGACCTTTTTGTCTTCGCAATTAATTATCACATTTAGAAACCGCTTCCCTTGTACCAAAATAAAAATAAAAAATAAAAAATAGGTATTTATCTCGTCATCTTCGTTGAAAATAAATCGTTCTATAACCCAGAAGTTACCTCGTTTTCGAATTACCTTTTACTTCATTAAATCGGAAACGATCTTATTTTTTCTTTTCTTTTTAAAACAGGAAGCCTTATTCTTTAGAAGCAGTTCCTATTCCTGAACTTTATTAAACTTACAAATTTTGCCATTGGTCTGCATGGGGCTGAACTTTTATGACGCATTACAGTCGCAAATGAACAATACTTTTGCCATTCAATTGAGTTAGCCCAATCAAGGCCTTCTTCAAATTTACAATAAATTAAAGTTTTAAGTCAAATTGTACTTCTTGGAACACCACCTATGACTTCTGTTGAATACAAAAACTGTACTCTTTATATTGTCGTAATTACGTAAAAAGCACCGATCAATGATAAAGTTTTGTAAACATTTACCGGCACGAATTGTTTTTGCCCTTTGAAGTTGGCAAGAGAGAACTCGAAAATATGTTGACGTCATTTTCAAATCTCTCCAGTTGCCGGTGCGTCGTTTTCGACTATTTGACCGGTGTGCATTGCAACCTATTTACCTTCTTAAAAAATAACTTCCCAAAGTGGTCGATGCTCATAGAAGGGTGTTACTTCTTTTTTTTATTTCAAGAAGGAAATTGACTTTTGTGCAATGAAAACTTTCACCTCATGTCTTTCCACTTTAGTTCATAATAGTTTACAAAAGGTGTTTGGACGAAACAATAGGAGTCATAGAGATATCAATGTTTCGAGTTTGATCAGAGATAAATAGTTCCAGTTCCGTGGACGAGATCAAGCTCACTGCTTTGGCAGCTGAATAGATGACTCTGAAGCATCTTTTTCAACAGGCATTTTTACATTCGTTTAAACTACACCTTAAAACAAGATGCCCTCTTTTAGTTTTTTCATCTTTTTTTATTGCTTAAATTCGGTGAATCCATTCGAATTTAGTAGAAATGATACGTTTAACCATAATAACATGTCACACTTATCTATTAAAAGAAAGATTGATCACTTAGTCATGAATTTCTGTAATAATATAAAATACAACTCGAAATAGATGAAAATGCGTCTGGGAATTAAACTTTGGACAAACAATCATGACAAGCCAAAAATACAACTTATAATTTCTCGAAATAATTTTCACTCAAATTTCACCATGGGTATTCC